GGGTGGGTGGAGGGGACAGATCTGACTTCTCCTCCCCCCACCTCCATTCCTTCTCTGGCTTTGCAGGACTTCATCCGAGAACTCTTGGGGAAGCTACGAGGGCTGCGGACGGAACACGTCCTCCGAAGGATGAGCCCCGACAGCCGAGGGGATGCAGAGCCGGACGCCAACATCCGGGAGCGGGTGTGACATTGGGGGGGGGGCGGTGCGGGGGGCGCAGCACCAAGCCTGCTCCAGCAGGCAGAAGGGTGGGCAGCCAGAAGCTGCCGCTGCTGTGAAGAGGGGCGGGTTTCCTTGCTAAGGGGTGCCTGGCTGGAAAGGCGCCATTGGCACCAAGGGGTGGGGGCCCGTCCTGTTGCACCTCTTGGCCAAAATCCACTGCTGGACCAGGCCAGGAGGGTGTCCTGCTGGGCCTGCCAGCCTCGCTGGGCCCTTCCTGCCCAGCAGCTCGTAGAACTGGTGTCCTTCCAATTTGTATAAATCTCTGTACCACGGACACGGTGTCTGTCTGCTTGGTTTTTCTCCTGTAATAAAAGTGTGTTGTCTTTCATGCTCGTGGCTTCACGGCTGCCTCCACCAGGGGCCAAGGGTGTGTCCCCTCCCCGCGCATCCGGGTTCTGGGAATGGAGACCTGCGGGAGGAGGAGGCCGACTTGCCCGCCTCTCGTCTCCTCCTGGGACTACTCCTGGTTCAAGGCCTGGGTGTCCGAAGGAGAGTCCACAGGCTGGACTGGTCAGACCAGGTAGCTGAGAGGGCCTAATCTGGGAGCTGCCTGGGGCAGCCGGCTGGTGGAGCAACCCCCCTGGCTCAAGCAGCTCCCTGGGAGGAGAACGTGGCACCTGAGAGAAGCACAGCCTGCCTTCCCGCCCCCACCCTCGCCTTTTGGAAGATGCCCATCCGTTGCTCAGGCCCCTGCTTCGGCCAGAAATGGCACCCTCGGCCAGTCTTCTCTCGTCTCCGACACGGCAAAGAGCACCTCCTCCAACCACCACTGGCCCAGCTGGTCCTTCCGTTCCGGTCCGAAGGAAGACCTTTCTGGACCACAGCCTTTGGCTCTGCTAGCCAGCCTTCCCTCTCAGTCCACGAGGAACAAGTGCCTGGGGAGGCTTGGGGTTCAAGGCCGGCCGGCCAGCCCAGAACCTGCAAACCTCAAGCCTCTGACTCAGCCTCCAGCCGCTTGCAGGGACCCAGGGTGGCCTGGTTGTTGATGAGCGTGGGCTGGCGGTGGGGGCGGGGGGAACCCTCCCGGTAGACTTTGTTTACAGCCCAAGAGAAACAGCTGCATGCAAAGGATGGCTGTTGCTACATCTGTGGCCTCCGGTGACCTACAAAGGGAGGCGGCTTCCTAATGCTGTAATGGCTGGACAAAGGATGCCAGCTCTCTTTCTCACACACAAACACACAGAGACAGCTCTCCCAAATGGTCAGCACATTGCAATCCTCTTGAGACCTGAATGTTTTAAGTGCAAACGGTCCCTCGGTCGAGCCCTTGGGGCAGCAGACAAAGGGTGGGGCTCGGATGCCCAGGGCCCCTGCCCTCCACGACAGACCTTTAAGGGGGCAGAGTGCTCTGTGGCCTCCCAGGCTTCTCCTGGGCTTTCAGCTGCTCCTTGTTATCGCTCCAGCCTCCCTCCAGCAGCAAGGGAGGCTGGCTGGCCTTTATGGTCTCCCTCGTTTGTGTGTGATGACCTGGCCTCATCGGTCTTTTCTTCCTTTCTTTCTCAAAAGCCCTTCCTTGATCCTTTCTGGACACGACCCATCTGGAAAGAGCGGGGCAGGCTTTTGGCGGCAGGAGCTTGGCGCTGCTCGCCCTTGGGAGACGTCTTCCTGGCCCTCTTTGTTGCGGTCTCCCTCTTGTCTGGGACACACACTGGCCCATTCATGCCTTGCCCCCTATTTCCACCCCCCCCCTTTATTGTTTTCCTTGCCCTCAATGATGGCTTTGTTGGCCAGGCCAACCTGTGCCAGCCTCTGCTGGGATGACTCTCGCAAGATCACAGGGCGCTGAAGCAGCTCACCTCCAGAAGGACGAGCTCCCGCTTAACAGGGAGAGGCACGGAGACGAGGCTGTCCCAGTTGAAACGGCTTCTTTGCCCACCACCACCACCAGTGTGCTACCTGTGGGGCCATCAGCAGCCCCCTGCCAGCCCTTGCCCCTTCCCTACAGCCAGCCCTCCTCCTCCTCCTCCTCCTCCTGCTAGAGCTTCCCATCGCTCCAACTGTTGCACCCAGTTCTCTTGGGAGCCTGGCTTATTCCCTTATTTGGGAACAGCCAAAGGAAAGCGTATATTTCTGTTCTTCTGCACACTAGGAGGGCTGTGCAGCTGTGGGTGGGGGTGACCCTTGATGGTCTCCAGCACCATCTTCCCATGCACACTTAGCAAAAGGGCCCCACTCCCTGTGAGACCCTCGCATGGACCGAAGGGGCTGCAAGCAAGCATCCTCGCCAAGCCCCCAGAGCCCAACTCAGCCCAATGCCTGGGATTCCAGCACATTTCCATGTGGCGGCCAGTCACGAAGGAAGGGAGCAGGGCAGGATCGGAGGAGAGCCGCTGCTGAGGGAGGAGGTGGAGATCCCGTCGGAGCCATGCTTGTGGCCCTGCTGCTAGTTCGGGAGAAGGGCATGGCAGGGGAGGGAGGGAGCCCACCAAGACAGACTCTGAGCAGCAAGGAGGCCAGGTCGGCAGGAAGGGGGACAGGAACATTTTCCAGAGAAGTAAACGCTGGGAAGATGCTTTCCAAAAACAAGGGCTTTGCATCCGGACCTTGGAGTCCTCAACCCCTGCAGGGGACGGCATGCAAGTCTCTCTCTCCTGGCATAGGGTCGCTGTTTAGGGGGAAAGGAGGGAGGCAGCCACACTGTCAAGAGGATCAAGGGGGGGGGGAGCCTCCCATCTGTGGCACAATAGCCAACCAGCGCTTGCCCCCTCGTGGCTTCATAAGGCAATGCAATATCCCACAAGAGGACAAGCAGGTGGAAGTATAACTGGAGACCCATTCAGCTGCTGGGTCAGCCTTGGCTCCTCTCCCCACCTCCTCCAGGCCTCCACTCCAGAACACAAGGTAGAAAGTTTGGGCAAAGTTCTGGGTTTTTTTGCAGCCCACACTCCAGAACAGTGGAGAGCATGAGCCTGGCCCAGTTTGCTAAGGAGCCCACATTATTTAGGGCGGTGAAAACAAAAAAAAGCACAGAAGATGGAGAGCAGATCCTCCCAGGCTGTGGCTGGATGGGCACCAAAACAGCAAACAGAGTTGAGGGTTAAGCCATACAACTTCAAAGCTACAGTTTCACACTTTTGCTCATAGCCTCTGCCCCGGTGGTGGTTTCACGGCAAGGGCTCCTGGGACTGTGGTGGAGCGCCTGTTGTCAAGACAGCCACCCGCGAGAAAGGTAAATCCTACATTAGGATTGGGAGGAAAGGGTGCCATTTGCCCCGTCTGCACTAACTGAAAAGTCCCACAAAATTGTACAGGAAAAGACAGCCACCAAACGGTCAGCAGCCTGGTGGGACTCCCTAGAGAAGGAAGTAAAAAATGCAGCTGTTGAGCGGATCGGAAAGAAAGACAACGAAGAAGGTTCAGCAAGAGAGTTTTATAAAAGTAGCTGCAGTGTGTGTGTGTGTGTGTGGGGGGGGAAGCAAAGGATCCTTTGCCCTTCCTTTTAAGGGCCGTCCAGTGAGGATGACAGCCACAGAAAAGCTAGAAGCTTTACACTAGGATGGAATTTCCTGTCTCGGAACGTCCTTTTGTCCCGCTGCTGCTTAGATGTCTTTCAGATACAGACCTGCAGAGGAGGAGTTGGAGAGATCACTCTCGCAGGGGAGAGTTGCCGTGGCTGGCCGGGTGGCACATTCACCGTCACCAGGGGACTAAATCTCTCTGTCGGCCAGACCCCGGGCAGGGGTGGGGTGCCCTGGGCAGCCCACGGATTCCCCAAGCGGGAGAGGGATCCAACTGGCCCTGGCCTGACGTGGCCACAGGGCTCCTCTCTCTTCCGACTCCTCGACTGGAGCAATTCAGACCGGGCCTTTCAAAGGAGCCCCGTTTGGAGGAAGCAGCAGGCCAGCTCCCATGCACGCTCTGACTGGGGAGGACCTGGGATGGGGGCCAGAGCAGGTCTATTGAAACCTCCAAGCCCATTCCTGGGGGGCCAAGAGTTGACCCCAGGCCATGACTTCTTCCGGCAGTTTGCTCAGAATCCTTCCATCCCCCCAAACTACTTCTCCCTGGGGCTTCCTCGGCCCCAGCCCCATTCCGGCCACCGCTGGCGTTTCTCCCCATGGGGCCACAGCCCTACGGACAGGGCCAGCCAAGAGGGAGAGATGGTGGCCCGGTCATCGCTACAGGGCTTTGGGGGTGGGCCGCTGGTACTCCTCCATGATGCGCAGGACATCGTCCAAAATGGAAGGGCCCAGATCAAGGTCCAGCCGGAGCAAGGACTCCGATCGAGACAGGTCTGACGTGCACTGGCTGTCGTCGCAGAAACTGCTGTCGTCGCCTCCCACAAAACTACCCTCGGGCAGAGCGGCCGAGGAGAAGGAGATGGAGGAGGGCAGCGGATCGTAGCGTGCCGTGGCCGAGAAAGAGAGACCCCCGGCCCCGCTAGGGAAGCAGCCTTCCGCACAGCTGATGGACATCGAGCGCTGCTGCGGCAGGGGCGGTGGCTGCCCCCCACTCCTGGGCCTCTCCTCCAAGTGCAGGCGGGGGGGCTTCGGCGGGGCCTGCTCGTGGCCCTGGCCCCCGCCGAACACGGGCAGAGAGACGGCACTCTTGAGCAGGGTGCGGTAGCCGGCCCCAGGCGGACCGTGGCCGAACGAGGCTTCCACCGACCCCGACGGGCCACCTCGGCCGGACAAGCGAGGCAGGACGTCGTACCTGCCTTGCAGGAAGGAGAGCTCCCCAAACATGTCGCCCTCCCCATCCAGGCCGATGTGGGCGCTGTGCCGGAAGTCCCCCAGCGGAGGGCTGATCATGTCGCTCGACAGCACGTCCCGCAGGCGCAGCTTCCGGCCCCGCTTGGGGGTCGAGGTCTTCAGATAGATGGGGGTCTTGGCTGGCATCTCCGGACCTGCCGGAAGTCTTGCGATCACGGCTATTGGGGAAAACCCGGGAAGGGGTCTCCTGGGTGCCAGCTGGGCAGCAAAGGAAGTGGGGGGGGCAGCAAGTGTGTGGGCAGGCGTGCACACCAAGCCCCCTCTGCCCCAGTTGCGAGTCGCTCCCTTCAGCGCCACCAGGAAGTCGCCATGGGCTGGCACCGAGCTTCTTTGCCCACTCAGCTGTCGCTGCGGCGCGGCATCCTGTGTCCCTGCTGGAGAAGAGCAAACCATGAGAGTCGCCCGTGCAGAAGAGCCTGCCCTGGCCCACCCCCACCCCATCGATGCTGCCAAAGGCTGAACACACCCACCCACCCCCGACCTCTTTGTGGTATGCAGAGATCTCTCCCAGGGGCCCTCGGCCACATCCTGCTCCGTCCCCTCACCACGACCCACTTCCTGTGCAGGCTGGAGAGTGGGAAGAGGCCAGCGGTTTGGGACGATGGATGAAGCCCCTGACAGACTCCCTCTCTCGTTGGTCATGGAGGGTGGGGAAGCCTCATACCCCGCAAAGGGCCAAAGAGCATCCGTGCCCAAAGAGGGCCAGCTTTCTCTTAAAAACACGAGTGCAGTAGCATCGCCGCTAACAACGGCCCCAATGACAGCAAGACAGCCCTCCATGTAATCTTTTCCAACCCCTGTTTGCACCCCTTCCTGCCGTGCTCTACGTTATCATGTTTCTTTCCTATTCTGCCTGTTGTGTGGATTTAAACTTGCGTTGCAAACTGTCCTGCAGTGATTGATGATGAAGAATGGCTGATTTATCTAAAGGTTCTGAATAGATGCCGGCTCAGGCCAGGATGACACCCATCTCCGGTACATCTCTCTCCATGTTCCTCCAGATTGTTCAAAAGGTTAGCTCAGAGGTGACCGTCAAGGGTTGCTAGGAGGAGGAGAAGGGGCTCTCGGGGGTCTTGGCACACAGACCAGGCTGGGCCAGCTCTTTGCCAACAGCCACCCACAGGCCAATGCAATGGCTGGGCGAAGCCCCAAATATTCCTGTCCACCATCACAGGGAGGACCAGCTTGTACATGAGCCAGGGCGGAGCAGGACATCACGGAAACCGGGCTCCTGGGCAGAACAGGGGCCAAACTGGCCAACCGTTGGCTTCCCCTTGCCCTGGCTGCCAGTCTCCTCAAACGCCACGCCACTGCATTCCCCGCACAGACCCCTGGGGTGCCATTCCCAGAAGAGAGACGGCTTGGCGTGCCCATTCACCCTTTGATGCCGGTCGCGGAGGCGCATCTGAATAACTGAAAGGGGCTGCATAGCGCATGGAATCACACACGGCAGGCCAGGTTCATTGGGAACCAGTCTCCCGACCACCTGCTTTCCCATCTCAGCCGAATGCCACGACTCCCCACTTGCTCGGGCCCCAGGGGTGCTGCTCCCCACAGCCACCTCTTGGCACTGAAAGGAAGATGAGAAGGAGGAGGAGGAGGAGAAGCAAGGATGGGCTCCTTACATAACTGCTTATCCCATTTCCTCTGCCCTTCCTCTGCTCTTGCACTCTGAATAGCAGCTTCCTCACAAATCCTGAGTCTGGATGAGGCCCCTGTCACTCTGATATGTTGCATAACACCATGCAAGCCAGCCAGCCAGCCGGCAGGGCAAGGGAGCTAACGATGGTCAGGTCCGGCAGATGGGTGCATGCATGGTGCAATTAACACACCCACATCCCGCAACTCCTGCCTGCTTAGAGAGGTAGCCTTCCAGGGACTGTGCCTCCCCAGAAGGGTACATCTGTCACTCTGCTCACCCCCCCCTTGTGTTGCACCCCACCACCTCGGAGCGTATTTACCGGCGTGGCTTGCCAGGCCACAGACGATCATTCACACCCCACAGGGAGGGGGCTACCCCCACCCAACTTTTCATCAACGAAACCTCCTGCTGCGGGACTCGGACTGGCGTCTGTTTCCAGCACCGCCAGCTCTTCCCTCTGCTTTTGGGTTCTGCGTATCATCAACCCTGCCCACTTAAGCCACATTTACCTTCCCGACACCCCCACCCTGCAAAAACTCCAAGGGTCCCCGTCAACCCCCAGCCCCACCCTGCCTCGTTCAAGGGCCCTGCTATGCCAGAACCCGTCCCATTTCCCCCTGGCGGCCAACTCTTGACATGTCTCCATTCCCACCCACCCCTCGGTGTGCCTGCACCCACCGCCCCTCTCTTCCCCTTCACGAACCTCACCTGCCTGCAGCTGCCTGGCCAGACGGGTTGCCTGCCCGCTGAGGGAGTAGGTGAAGAGAGGAACAGCCAGCTGAATCCCCAGCGCCCCCGGAGAAGCGAGCTGAGCTCCAGCCAGCCTCTGACGCAAAGCCCAAGCCTACCTTAGCCGGCCTCTCTTCTCTTCTCTTCTCCCCTCCCCTCCCCTCCGGGAGGCCTTCTCCTCCGCTCAGCCCAGCCCAGCCTCTCTTGCCTGAGCACAGCAGGGCCAGCGCCTGTCCTTGAGCCCGGAGCTATCAGGCAGGAAGCCCGAGAGGGCACGACTTCACCCTGCAAAGGAAGGCTGTCCTTGGGTACCTCTCGCCCCCCACCCCACCCCCCAATGCTTAGCCCATGGAACCTCAAAGGTGACCCAGGGGAGGGATGAGCCCCTGCTTGGTGGCAGAAGCAGGGATTCCAAACCAACCCTCCAAGAAACAGATCAGGGGGGCTCGGTGTTGCCATTCCCACAAGCTACCCCTTCCCAAGCTCTTTTTCAAGTCAGGCGACAAGCTCCCTCTCAGGTCCAGCAGCTACGGAGGGGCACTTGAATATACGGATCTCAAGGGACCAGCCAGGCTAAGGCTTTCTTGACCTGTTTCATCGTTCAGCCTCCTGTCTGGCAGAAAACATGGCTCAAGCACAGGACGGTACACAATTCTTCTAGATTTTCCTGCAACCTTGCTCTGGGCCACTCGAATGGGGCTGGCGAGCGAAGCGGGCCCATCGGCTTGAATGGATGCAGGGGAGTGATCCGTGGAGCCGGGGCTCAGCCAACAAACCTTCATTAAACTGGAGAGGCTTCCAAAGAGGAAGCCACGGCTTGCCCACTGAGCCATCCTCCCCCCCCCCGGCCGTCCGTCTCTGCTAAGAGCTTGAACAGGAGCTTCAAGACTTTGGGAAAGAGCCCACCCTCCATTAGAACCAAACATACATTTATTGGGTAGCTGCCTTCATTTCGCTCCAGCGAGATCCAAGACCAAAATGTGTGTCTCCTCTCCGTGTTATCCAAAAAGGGCCACCTCGGTCCGGGAGAAAGAGCCCAGGCCAACGACCCTCCAGTGAATTGCATGCCTCACAGGGGGAACGATTCATACCCTGGTCTTCCCCATGCGGTGGGGATGGGAAGTGTGTTTCCCAGTATGTGCCGCCCCACACACTGTGGCCACTCAGGATCTTAAGAAGCAAGGTGGCCCACTTCCTCTGAGTCAGAAGCCCCCCTCCCAATCATCCTGCCGAGCCATTTGAAATGGCTACTTTTGGCTATAAATTCCTTTGTACGTTATTAATATATTTTTAAAAAGCAGGCAGGCAGAGGGTTGAGTGGCTCCCACCTGCACCCTCAAGCACAGAGCAGATGCGCCAGGGACTGAGAGGGCCGGCTTCCTGTCTGTTTGAGCCCAAGAGTGTTTTGTGAATTTTGCACGGGAGGGGGGCTGTGACTACCAACAGAGAAGGGCTAGTGGCCCACCCCTTTGCCTCATGCCAAAGGCCACGCCTGCCCCTCCCACTTCCAGGAAGAGCCATGGGCAGGGAGCAGATTTACGGAGGACAATTTGACCCCTTAATCAGTCTCAGGAAGTAAGCCTCCTTACAGCCCTGACCCATTTCTGCCATAAGCAGATCAAGGGCTATTTCTAGCTTTCCTCTCATACACACAAGCTCTACACTCAAGGGGTGGCTCGGTTAGCCTAATGAGACCACCCACAAATGGACTGTGTCCCTGGTAAGAGAGGCAGACGCCGCCAACACACCAGAGCCTTAAATGCCCTGAGGAGGAGCAGGCACAACTTCAGACTTCTGGAAGGGGGGGAGGTGTGATGGGGTTTACAAGTCAGAGCGGCTCCTCTGCAATTCTGCAGCTGCAGGTCACTGAACCAGCCTCAGTATTGTTCCCTCATAGGGCTTTGCATGGCAACCCAGAAGTAGTAGGAAAGTGGCACAAAATAAGTTTGAGGGGTCTTCATCCTGAGGACGACATGCCACTCACCAAGGACACGAGAGGAAAACAACTGGCTGGCTGAAGATGCAAACCAGATGTTACAGACCACCTAAAGGCCACCCAGGAGAGAGATATTCAGCCAGAAGCTTCAGATCCCTCCCTCTTCCTGGGGAACCAGAGGAAGATGATGTGCACAAGCAGCCTTAAGAGCCAGATTGCCTGCTTGGGGAGGGGGGCCGGGGGGCTCTTCCAGACCTGCCTCATACACCAGCTGCCTTGTGAACTGGACTCCCACCTGCCTGTGGGAAGACCTTCTAGTCTTCCTGTTCCTCCTGTTGTCCTTCCTCTCAGCCCCAAGTACTCCACAAGGCCATGCCGGGAAAAAATAAGTTGCCCAGAAACACCATTCTGTGTCACATGATGTGCTTGGCCAGCTGACTGCCCCGGACCCCTGGGCCCACCACCACACAGGCTATGCAGGAAGAGCCATCCCATCCCACTGATCACTGCTGGGTAGGCTCAGGGGTTTAGGTCTCTGGCAAGCCAGAAGTTGGGTGTTCAGTTCCCCCTTGGTGTCTCCTGAACAGGGGCTGGACTCGATGATCCAGAGGGTCCCTTGCAGCTCTGCCGTTCTAAGATTAAGATTAGCCACGATCCTACTCAGAAGGCAGGGCAGGCGGCTGGACTCTCCCTTTGATATTCCTTGGCTGATGGAGCATGGCAGATCCTGGTGCCCCTCTTCCTTATATCGTGCCGACTGCTCCTTTGGCCGTCCCAGATCTTGGTAAGCCTTTGGTCCCAGAGTGAATCCTTCGGCGTATGCTGTACAGACCCCAGCACACACAGTGGTGGGTGCCGAAGGTGTGTTAGGCTTGGCTGCTATGAATGCAGAGACTCTGCGAGGGGTCAAGGGCAGAGCAGATGCCATCTTCCCTTGCCGCTTCAGAAACTCGCCAATGCGAACTCGTGCCCACCTTGGACCTCTCGTGCCAATGGGCACTCCTCTGCAGCTTTTCTCTCTCCTCCTGCTGAGAGATACCATCCAAAAGCAGTTCCACACCATAGCCACATAGACAGCAACCCTTAAAATCACTGCATTATTTAATGTCAGCAGTACAATGATAGGAGACTTGAGTCTGGATGACACTGTTGGAAGACAAATGTGTGATTAAAAAAAAGGAAGTAAACAGAGCCATGCAACCAAAAAAATTCACTGTAAAAATACCAGTACAATATATACAAACCCCTTTCCAAATAATATTTACATTTTATAGCGTTTTTTAAATATAAAGCTCCGCCAGAGGACTGGTCTCATCGATTAGTGTACATTTTTAGTTTTTGCTTTCCATGGGCTACCAAAGGGATGCTTGTTTTTAAAAAGAAATCAATGTATTATACAAATGTCACTGAGCGTCTAGGTAAACTAAGCAAGCTCACAAAACAAGAGTATTTCACAAAGAACCTCTCTAGTTAAAGTTACACTCACAAACTTTACACCAGTTTAAGAGTCATAGCTTCACCAAAGGGTCCCGGTGGGAATGGTAGTTTTTGGGAGGCTGCTGGGATCCTGTTAAGAGAAGTGGGTGCTGGCAGAGTCATAACAGTCAAATGACCGCCCCCCCTCCTCACTTTGTAAGCAGACCACAGGCTGCTTTGAATTTCCACCAAGACAGACACCAATTTGCAGTTAAAGGCAGCTTTGCCCTCTTTTTCTTAAACCCACGTTTACCGTATACTGCAGAGTTCATGTTCCCAACGCAAGAAAGAAACTACAATTAAATTAAATGTGATTCTTGTGCTTGAACAGGAGATGTTGCAAAGGCGAGGCAGAAGAAAAATCCAACCAGTGAAGTAACCTGATCCCCGTTATTCTGTTAATTGAACACTGCTAAGAGTGGCCACTAATCATGCCCACCTCACCCTCCCCTCCCTTGGAGTCCAACCTCTCTCACACACACACACCCCAAGCCATGCAGACTCCTTTAAAATGACTTTTAAAGTTGTAAATACGTTTTCTAGGAGAGATGGGTCCCTCCATTTACACAAAGCCAGGATGCTGGCGTGTATTCTCTGGGATCTTCTGAGAACATCCCAGCTTTGTCCAGCAAACAAAGGGTCACCGTGCCCACCACTGTTCACAGCAGAGGGAAGGCTTGGGCGCTTCCTTTCAAATACTCCACAGCAGCCTTGCCGACATCCCCCCTAAACAGACACACTGGGCAGGTTCCTTCCTCAGAAGAGGAAGGAGCACCTGGTCTCTGTTATTCTAAATTTGAAAACAAAGCAAAACAAGACAAACTTTCCAAATAGCTGCTAACACCCTTGTTGTGAAATACGTTTCCCCCCCCCAGACCCTCACCTCCTACGAGAGTGTTGCAGCCCCCGTGCTTCTTGCCTTAGGATCCTGCAGGGGGAAAAAAAGGGAACTAACAGCCAGGAAGGGTGGCTGAAGAACAGCAACTCTCCTGGCTCCCCACCCTGGGCTTCCCTAGGAAGGGCCAAGGCTCTGCAGAGACTCCTTGGCAAGCAGAGCCCGCGTGGAGTGGGTGCTGCTAACACGGCTTCTGCTTCTGCTGGCTGGGGGACACTCGCTTCTGAAGGTGGGGCATGATTACACCAGGCAAGAGAGGGGATCTCCGGGAGGGGGGGGGGAGGAATGGAGGGCACAGGTCGGTTTCCATCACAAAATGTTCAGGTTCTGCTTGGGACTCAAAACGGAATCAATTGGTTGGCACACGGCTATGGCACGGCCCACCTCTGCCAGCTGCTTCCACAGGCAGCCAGTGGTACACAAACAACACAACATCTCAGAGCACCTAGCGGGCAGAAGCCCATAAAGGTCGGCAGCAACTATAACCTGTTGGTCTGTAATTAAAGGAGTCTCAGGATCCTCTGTTATTTTTGGAACCACGGCTTTCGGTGGCTCCTCTTCTCTGTGCCTACAGAAGCGGCTCTGCTTTTAAAACCATACAGGATCCTTAGAACAATTAGGCTGGAAGTGTCCTATTATCTCATATTGGGTCTCTGGAACCACTTTCTCTTTAGGGGAGTAACAATCCTCAGACGATGTTCAGACACTGTCCATTCCTTGCTGATTTAGGGGAGAAGCACAGAAGATGTACAGCAAAATCAGAGAGATTATTAATAATTTAATTTTGATACCACAAACTCTGTTCTGGCAGAACACATCACTTTCCCAAGAGGCCACCGACTTACACGTAGCACTGTGTTCTGGCCCAGCTAAATCCAGCAACCTCCAGGAAATGGCAGGAAAACAGGTACTTGAAACAAAAATCCAATACAATTACAAAAATAATCCAACATGGTTACTTCTCCATGGTAATTTCCACTGCACTAGATTTTTTTTTCTTTTAAAAAAGGCTATGATACACACTTTGTTACAGTTTAGAAATGAAGATACACATATTCTACAGACCAGCATGGCTGTCGCTCTTTCGACCACCTCTTCTCCACCCCATAGGCGATACCTGAAGAGGGGAAACAGGTGAGATACAGGCGTGGCCCTTTTGTGCAAAGGAAAAGCCAGGGGCAGGTGAGATGAGCTGGCAGCCCAGCTTTCCGAAAGAATCTGAAGACACCAAATGATTTCAGGCAGACCTCGAAAAAAGCCCAAGAGGGAAAACTCTTGGCTGGGCATCACACAATACTGGACAGAACTACTTGAGATACTCTGATTACTTGCTTAACAATGTAGCTCGGAGGTTAACACACGGCGGCGGCGGCAGAAGCAGCGCTGTGTGAGGCCCAAAGGAAGCACAGACAAGGGACATGGTGAAAAGGAGCGTGGATGGCATAAAAAAGGGACAAGCACTGCTGCTTCTCTCAGACAGAAGGCTGCGCGTGCAAGTGTTTTAATACTACTGGCAGAACGGAGAGGCAGTTGGGTCGAAGCCTTTAAAAACGTCCTTTAAGGAGGCCGCGTCCTGCAGGTCCCCTTCCTGCGCGGGGCTGTTGCCGGCAAACGGGCTGCCGGCCCCCGACTTGGCCGCCTGCTTCACCATGCCGTAGACGGGGGGCACGGGGAGATTGTGGACCCCCGGCTGGGTGGCTGTCTCTGGGGCAGCGGTAGGGGTGCTGGCGGTGGTGGAGGCCGCGGTGGAGGCCGCCGCCGCCTTGGGCCGCGGCCGATTGTAGCTGTTGTACCTGTCAGCGGCTGGCTCTGTGCTTGGCTTCTCTGCCTCCGGCTGGTCCAAGGCTGAGCGGTGCACAAAGAGGGGCTCCTTCCCTCCTCGGCTGTTGTTGCCGCCGCCTTTGCTGGCGTCCGGGCCCTTTGCTGAGGGGCTCCCCTCGCCGCCAGCCGCCGACTCCGCAGCCTTGCCCCCTGAGCTTGGAGTCCTGGGGTCATAGAGGCTGATCCCGCTCAGGACGCTGCTGCTCTGGCCGGCGCCTCGGCTCAGCCCTCCCGCCGTCAGCAGGCGAGGGTCATAAGGAGCGATGCTGGGCACTGTCTCGGAGCTGGTGGTCCCTGAGGCATTGGCTTCGGAGGGCTTCGAAGCCCCCGAGGAGGCCGAGTCGGAAGCTTTGAGCAGCCGCGGGTCGGCAGGGGCCTTCCGTGTCCTGGGGTCGCTGGGCTTGTCGCTCTGCCCGGGACTGCCGGCCGCATTCACGGTCTTGAGTATCCTGGAGAGCAGCTCAAAGTCTGGGAGGCTCGAGCTGCAGCTCGAGGAGGAGGAGGCCTCTGCCGGGGCTGCTGCTGCCGGGGTCCCCCGCTGCCTAGGGTCAGAAAGGCTGGCGTTGGGAGGCCGGTTCAGGCGGGGGTCAAGGGCAGGCAGAGCCTGGAGAGCGGCCGGGACTGGGACAAACTCCTGCTTGGGGACGGGCAGCGGGATCAGGTCCTCTGGGCTCCACAGGACTGTGCGGGCAAAGCTGGGCTTCAACAGGACAATGTCTTTCTTGATGTGGCTGAACTGCTGCAGCTGGCCGCGTGGGTCCCTGAGGACCTGGTTCGGCAGTGCCTCCAGGGGGATGGTGACAGGCTTGTCCCTGAGCGCTCTTTCTCCCTCCTCTTCCTCTGGGGTCGGAAGAGGCTTCTGGCCGGGGCTGAGGCTGGAATGCAGAGGGTCTGGTTTGGGGGCAGAGGTGGGGAGGTGCCGTGCCAGCCGGGGATCCATGGGGCCCGTGTCCCCGGCGCTGGTGGGAGTGGAAGTCTCCACGTTCCGAGAAAGCCTGGGGTCACGCAAGAGACGAGGGTCGGCCGGCCGGCTGCTCCCTGGAGGTTGACTCTTTTGAAGGCGAGGGTCACCCCTGCCCCCAGCAGGGCCTGTATGTCCGGAGGGGTCTTCGTGGGGCCGGTTGGAGCTCTGCTGGCGTAACGTTTTCAGGATGGAGCTAACGCTGCTGCTGCCATCATCCTCGTCACTGGAATACCAATTGCCAGTATCACCTGGGGACCAAAGAGTGAAAACGTGAGACAGGGAAGATGGGCTGAATCAAGTAAGATCGGAGACGCAAGAAAGCCTTGGGCATTTTCCACAAAAGGGGATCCACCTCAATGAGAAGTCAACTCAGCCCTTCAAAATCTTGCTGGCAACTCACAATCTTTTGAGGTAGAGAGGCCAAGACCATCCTCAAAAATCTTGTTAGCTAGGACGTGACAAATTGTCCAATGGGGTTGTGGGAAGCTTTTGCCCAAGGGGGACCTCCTCAATCAAGGAAAGCTCAACATGAGACAAGCCTCCCTCCAAATATGGAGGACCAAGCTAGGCAACCCCCCCCACACACACACACGTGAGCCCCTCCATATAGCCTGAAGAAAACACATGCTGCTTTCCAGCTTGTGTGATGATTACCCCAGAGAGAGGAATCCTCCTCCAAGATGAAGGCCCACCCGTTCCCCCTCCCCTCGCCAGCTGAGGATGAAGAGACCCTGCCGCCACCACCACCACCAGACTTCTCACAGGCAGCAGGTCTGGAGCACGCCAAGGGAGGGACAGGACGGCACAGGAGAGGCAGGGAAACGGTGTGATCAGCCGCCAGGAGTTACACACAGGACATACTTCTCTATAGCTAGGCACTATAGACCCTGTGGCTGATCAGCTCCCACCTGCATGTCTCTTGGGGAATGGGAGAAACTGCCTAGCCTGAAGCACGGCAGACAGTGACACCAGCCCAGGAGGCAAAGCCCCCACCCCCACCCCGCCATGGTCTTGCCTTCTTCATGATCCCGTTCCAGCTTGAAGCCTTCAGCCTGCCTGCGAGCCCTCTCCTCTTCCTCTTGCTGTTTGTGCTGGATACGCATATACAAGGCCCGCTGGGTGGACGGCAGGAAATCAGGAACATTGGGGGAAGGCTTCTGCAGCCTTGGGACCCCTCCATCACAGAAGTCGGGCTCCAAACTGGGATCTGGAAAGATGTTCTCCCCTGGCAGCTCATGCATCTCTTCGTAGCCCCCGTAACCCTCTGCAGTGGGTAGACAGAACGTGCAGGGAGACGGTCAGAGCAGCAGCAAACACAAGCACCCAGGTGATGATGGGAAAAGGGGCTCCTGGAAGTCAGTGGGCGACAGACCAGCCTCTACCCAAGTTTCCAGGCACTCACGGCCAACCCTCCTCTCCCAGCTGGCTCATCCGTGCCCATCGAAGCAGAGAGGACACGCCTCTGCCTGTCATTCCTCACCGCCCGCCCCCCCAAGCACCACTTGCCTGGGCCTCCCATCATGCCTGGGTCCATCTCCAAGCCTTCTGGGTGCTGGTAAAAGTTGTCATAGAAGTCTGGTGCTGGTGGTCCAGGAGGCATGTCTTCGGGGCCAAAGGGCATCATTGGGGGCCCGGGGCCCATGGGAGGGGGTGGGTTCATTCCCGGACCCATCGGCATGTCTGGGCACATGTCCGGGCACATGTCAGGAAGCATGTCCGGGGGCATATCCGGGGGCATGTCGGGGTGCCCAGGGAACCGGGGCGGAGATAGTCCTGGGTGCCTACCGAGGAAAAACACAGCAGGTGTCAGGGAAACCCCTTGAGGCCAGCAGGAGGACACAAGCAATGCTTTTCTGTCTGCTGGGGAAAGCCAAGAAGCAGCTCCCTTCAGCTTTTGCATGGAAGGATGGGGCCAGCTGGTCACCATGGGGCTTCCTGCTCTCCTGCAGGAAGCCGTGTCTGCCCAGGTGAAGAGGCGATTGGCCCGTCTCCCATGCTGGGCCTCCATCCCGACCCCACCACGAGACGGAACTGAATCCTGCATGGAACGGCCTTGTTGGAACCCTCCCCTTCCTTCTCTCACCTGCCCGCCCACCTGCCCGCTCACTCCCCCCCTTCCCTTTCCAGCCTGCCACACACCCCTCCTCCTCACCTCACGCCCAGCTTCTCAGCCAGCTGCCCTGTGGGCCTCACCACGATCTCAAAGAGCGAGGGGATCTTCTTGTACATGTCCTGCTGTTGCTGCAGCTGCTGAGGGGAGAGGGGCTCGTGCCAGCCCATCCGCCATATCCTTCCTACCAGTAACTGTGTCCTTCCTGCTTCTGTCTCCATCTTACATTCTTCCTTAGCCCATATGTCTCCCTAAGACTCACTGGGGTGGGCAGAAGTCCCACGCCGGGAGGTGGTTTTGGTAATGGATTGATGCCTTGCTTCTTCAGCTCTTCCACCTCTTTCTCATCTTCTGCTCCTGCTTCAGCGTCATCCGCTAACATCTGATGGGACGATTAAAACAAAACTATGGGCGATGCAAAGGGGGCAGGAGGATGTGTTGCTCAACTCACATGGACCTCCCCTCCTCTCTACAGACCCAAAGCATTTCAGCCTGCTGCCCCCTGGTCAAGGCCAGCCTCTGCCACACAAGAAAAGCCTGTCTCGGTAGCGGCAGCTGAATTAAATATGGCCCCCACTGTCTGCTCACCTTATCCAGCAGCTCCCGTGTCTCATCGGTGAGTGGTTCATGGGAGAACATGCAGTCATCACCATTGATGCAATTCCCTGTCGTGTGGAACAGCTTACAAGGAAAGTCCCCTGCGAGGCATTAAGGAAAGCAAACCAGCCCAAGAGCCCAAATGACCAAGGCCAACCTCTACTGGCCACCGGTCCTTTCTTCCCCTCCATTCAGGGCCTGGCTACCTTGCTGTGGGAGAGATCCCAAGACAGTCATCAGGAGTTAGTTATATCCTGGATATACTTGGCAATTCCCCCATGATTAGGCACTGAGCTCAGTACTGTAAGATGAACACTGGCCCAGATACCTGTGGCTAATCAGCTTGCCAAGTAATGAAGGACAGGCTGGCTGTACAGGCTGGGGACACAGAGTTTTTCCCTTCACCAATATCAGCCTTCGGCTATCATCACTTCCACTGAGGGATGCAGGGAAGCAGCCAGAAAGGATATCATGCATATAGGGACAGTTCTCCGCTCTGGCACAGTAACCGGTGATGTAAAACTTGCACAGTTCCCTCTTCTTTGGTAGCTCAATATCATGGCTGAAGTTGCAGTGTTCCCCCTGTCATGGAAAAAAAAAGAGAGAAAGGGTCACTTAGTCGCTAATGGGGACCTGCTCAAGGAGATCCTCAGACAACCCGGGCACACAGAGGCTGCTCAACAGCAAACCTGGGGATCTGGAGCTCAGCTCAGCTCTCCAGACGTGGTCTTTTGACAAGGCGATGCCTCCCAGCAGCACTCTCATGGGTAGCCAAGGCTAGAAGAGGCTATATCACCAGAATGCCTCACTCTACCCCATCCTGTGCCTCGTACCGAGGTTAGGTTTGCTAATAAATCCCTCTGCGCCAAGAGAATGCAATAAAAAAACAGGGATCGGTTGGAACTCATGGGACCTTAAACCTGCTCAGAGGAGGACTTGCTCTGGCACTGGCATAACATCTGGCCCTGGCGGAACACACTGAAACCTTCATAACCAAGTCAAGGAGGAGCAGGTCTGTTACTCCGCCATATGCAATGCTGGCAAAATACCTGTGGGCCCCTTTTCCGTACAGGCTCAGAGCCTAAGAGCAACAGAGGGAGCAAAATTCCAACAGGAGATGGCTGAGCATTGCCTCAATTCCTATACGTTAACTGACCACTAACTGGGGAGAATTCCTAGAATACCTCGTGCACTCCCCTTGCTCCCTGACCCACCACTCACTACACAGAGAAACAGACCTCTCAGCCAGGCTCCCGCCTGCATCCCTGCCCTCTATCCTTGAAACGCCTGTCTGGTGTAATGCAGCCACCATGTCACTGAAGAACAGCATGTGAAAGTTGGTAGTAAGCACTTACCCAGGTACACCTTCCTTCCACAAAATATTTGCAAATGACTTTTCCCTTCTTATCCGATTGCTGGTGGGATTTATCGTGGTCATTCCGCCGATAACCACCACCATCCTATAGGAATCACAAGAGAGGCCACTCAGGTATCTAACTGTGGCCATATGCTGCCCACTCAAATACAACTGCAGCCACAGACCAGCCTTACCACGGGAAGACGGCTCCATGGCTGTCAGGCAGGAAGCGCTCCGGCCCCTTCAGGAGTTTCAATCCCCATCCAGATAAGCCAGTCACGACCTACTGGGGGCCTGGAAAATCCCCGCTTCACCCCCTTTCTTTGCTGGCCTATCACTGATTGGCCCTCAGCCCTTCTCAAGCACCAGTTCAGCCAAGAGCCATTGAAATAAAAGGCACACCTGCCCCACAGGGCCCGAGCCAGGAACGGAGCGCTCCCGGGAAGGCTGAAAGGCGCCTGGGCAAGGGCGCTTCCCACTCACCCCCATGTCATCATCATAGTAATCATCTTCTTCATTCATTCCCCCTCCTTTGCCCATGCCGCCTCCTTTTCCGCGGTGGCCTCTTCCCCGGCCCATTCCTTTGCCTCCTCGCCCTCTGGAGCGGCCTCGGCCACGACCCATACCTGGAATAAAATCATTTTTCACAGTGAGACTACAAGTAGCACAACAACACTTGAAGTCAAGGCAGATCACTTAGTTCTGAGGACACCCCTTCCATGGGAGTGCAAGCACCGTCTGTGTCCTCCTGGCCGGCCAACGAGGCTCCCGACGGGACGGCAGCCTTGCTCCCTCAGGCCTGGCATGGCCGAGACCACCTACCTCTCCCCCTGCCTTCCTTGCTTCTGCGATACTGGTTCAGCTCTTTGGAATAGTCGTCATAGTCCTCCTCACCTGGAGGCTCCTCGCCTTCGCAGTACTGCCATCAAAAAAAGAGGGGAAATCAGAACAAACACCCTCCTAACCAGGAGCTGCCCAGGTATGCGAGGCCCAAGTACCCGCTCACCTCCATTTCCCCTTCATAGAGTTCCTCCTCTTCCTCCTCAGGGTGGTCTCCTCTTCCCCTGCCACGGCCGCCCCTACCCATGCCTCGTCCTCTCATTCCTCCTCTTCCACGCCCACGGTAGCCTCGCCCTCGCCCACGACCACCTGCAGGTAACAAAGCAAACGGCTCAGACTCCACGCGTAGCCGGATATGGCATGCCACATTCCGTCAGTGTCCAGCAGACGCCAAGAAAACAGGGCAAACTCACTCTGTATCCCTTTTTGTGCATCTCACACAGCAAAAGTGTCATCAAATGGCATGCAGCCAGGTTTCCAAGAGTATCTGGGCTCAGACATTTCAGTCTGTGTGGCTCTTGCTGTCAATAAGCAATCAAAGCATAACGCAAATGTGACGAGAAGTGGCCATATTGGGACAAAAGGGCGTCAACTAAGGACAGTGAATAACTCAAAGGCTGATGCCATTTTGGCAGTAAAGCCGTTCTTAATCTTCACAGGCAAAAGCAAGAAGGCAAAAAGCCCCCGGAAGGCTGAAGGGAACCTTGTCGGGAAGGACAGTGCAGGCTGTGGACACAGGGCTTTACGGTAGGATAAGGAGGACTCGTCGGATTGCCTTCCAACCAAGGCATCTAAAATGGCAAGGAAATGCCCTTCAACACCCAAGGACCTGACTTTGGGAAGCCGTGTGGATTTTCTTTTGAGGCCAACCGCAACTGACAGTGTACTTAATTCCTTTCAAGATCCTTCTTCAACTTCTTTGCCCAATAACCACCCCAAGGCATTTTGGATGCCCACAGATTCTGGGATAAGAATCAGGGGGGGAAAGGACTCCTACCTCTCCCCCTGTGTGTCCCCTCCATTGCCCTTCGGTACTGGTTCAACTCCTTGGTGAAGTCATCGTAATCTTCTTTCCCCATGTCATCGTCTTCTTCCCCCTCGTAGTCACAATACCCCTCATTCTCATAACCCTCATATATCGGATAGCTCTTGCTCTCCATTTTGGAATAGGCTTTCTTTGGGGCACTGTGAGATGATGATGAGTACGGCGGGTGGGTCTGGAAACAAAGGAGCCGATGGTCAGGAATGAACAACGAGGCAGGAGCCTAGCAGGCACCTCCTCCGAAGTGCCAATGGGCCGCTTCAAAAGGCCCCTGCAAACCAGCCAAGCCTTCCCACAGGGCTAGCAAAGTGCACTCACAACCCACCTGACACCTTGTTTTCCCTAACCAAGAGGTCCAAAAATCACCATCCTCCAACTCATGAAGCCTTGGTTCCAGGTGGGTAAGGAACCGTAGCTGAACGACTGTTAGGGAGAGAGCTGCTGTTCCCACAGAACAAACGACAGTGCCCGGCAGCGCCCACGCGCGCACCCACCCACCCTTCCATCTCAGTGGCCTCAGGGACTTACGGAAGAGTAGACAGGGCTGTACTCCCTGTACTTCCGGTGTCCCTTTTCACTCGGACTGAAGTCAGAGTCTTCGCTGTAGTCTGAGAAATCATCGCTCGAGGAGGCATGACGCTGCAAGGACGAGAAAGAATGTTAGCAAACTTTCATACCTCTTCCTTCACTCCAGTTCCAATGACTGATGTGAGTCCTGTCCTAGCTCTTAGTTTTAAGGTGTACAGTGGTTACGCCTTCAGTTAAGTGGGAATTCTACAAGTCCATCAGCTACGAAACAGAACCTGAAAGGGGCACTGAAGGGTGATGCTGACAGGGTAAGGGTGAACTAACTCAACCATCTTGCATGTCAACAGCTGTAGAATATACAGGGGAAAAGCAGACAGGCTCCACTGCAGACTGATCAAGGAGGAAAGGGGATGCCTTCATGAATGAGGAGCAGGGAGAGGGAAACACAAGGAGGTAAGATTCTGAGAAAAAAATTTATTGTTAATTGGGACTCTGTTGTACCATGTATGGTACCCTGCTTTGCCAGTGAGGCTGTGGTTCTACGACTGGCAGGGGGAATGACATCTGACAACATCCAGGGTTGCTGGCATGCTGCAGAGGAGGGCTAGGCTGAGTGCAGGGACTGGCTAGGAGGCACCTGAATACCTGCCAGAGGGAAGCTGTGGCATTTCAGGGTTTTCTTCAGAATGCCTGGAGAGGTTTAGGCTGCTGCAGAGCTAGTGAGCATGGTGCCAACTTAACGCAGGTCCTTGACGACCTGTGTTAAGAGCTTAGGCCAACACCACAAGAGACTTAACTGCAACCAAGCAGTCTGTGCCACACACCCCAAGACTTCTGTCCCCAGACTGGGGCAGGATGAGGGAGGGTCTGAATCTGAAGGCTTACCTTATGCTTGGACTTCCTTTTCTTTTTTGATCTCCGTTTCTCCTTCTCTCGTTCTTTCCGACGTTTCCTTTTCCTCCGGTGAGTCTTTTCATCGTCTGAGTCACTGTGGTGCTTCTCATTTCTTTCCTTCCGATTCTTCTCATGTGACTCGGAAGCACCGTGGGGCTCCTCACCTCCATCATCCTCCAGCTCTCCTTCTTCCAGCTCCCCATCCTCCCTGCAAAGAGACACAGCCACAATCACTTGGCTGGAAGGAGCAGGCTGGGCGCGGCTGAGGAAAGCCTCACAGGTGGAAACTTCACGATCCCTTCTCAGTTGCCATTCAAATGTCACTGTCCCAGGACTTTACTGGGAAAGAACCCAGCCAAACCGGTTTCTCAGATCAGCAGCTCCCTCCCCTCTGGTGGATGCACTTTCTAAACACAACAGTGCCAACAACCCTGTTCCTTAAGGGAGACACAGAACATACACGTGCCCACAGACAGACAGAAGAGAAAATTTAACCAAAACACATAAATGCCAAAGATCCTCTTGCCAAAAAAAATAATAATAAAAAAAAGGCTGAAAACAAGGGCTGCTTTGACTGATTGTACCTACACAGAAACCAGGACTTATCCTGATAATCCTGTGACTGCTATCACTGAACAGAATATTTTAAAGAGAGATCCTTTGATCCTTGTATTCGAAAATGGCATACTAGAAGCTGAGAGAATGTATTTTCTTTGGCTTCAGGACATTTCCTTGTGTCTCCTTTGAGTATAAAGATCAGGAGAACTAGCCACACTTCCATCTTTAAACCAAAGTCAGAAAACCATTCAGGGAGGAAAACACAGTATTCGATTTTACTGAGACAGACTTGGTTTCTCATTACCCTTGTAATGAGGGCTAGGATGGGGAAACCAGTGCGGTCGTCTCTGGAAGCCCGACAAGAGTTTCTGGAAAAGCCATGGCTCTAGCTCACCACATCTTCTCTACATGTGGAGAAAAACCTATGAGAATGGTGTTTTGAAAAGATTTTCAAGTGTTTTCTTGAATTCTTTGCAAATGGGATTGCTGTTCCTACTCATGCCTGGCAGAGCAAGCCTGGAAATACGCCTTTGCCACCACGGCCTGATGTTCTCAGACAGACAATGGGAGTGGAAAGCACCCCATGGGAAAGAACCAAGTGACGTCTCAAGGCACACCACTCTGCAACCCGGTGTTATCTTTGATGGCAGAAGCATCGCTGGCACCACCTCGCCTGGCTGGTTTTGTTGATACATTCACTCCTTTACCCAGGCTTAGTCACACTCACAGCGGACACGGTGAAATAGGTGACATCAATGACGCTCAGCCCAGTCACAATTAGAAGTATAGTAGGACTGTGGAATCGGAGTGTGTGTGTGTGATCGGTTGCAGGCCCCTGCTCCACAGATGCTGAAAAATGTAGAAGTATCCAACGCTATACATGGCATGGTCTTTGGCTCCTTCTAATGCCCAGTTCTGGTCATCATACACTCTGGAAATGTATATAAATACCTATTTCTGGGGTTTTAATATTTCGTATTTTCAAGCGGTGGATAAATGCATCAGTGGATCCCACAGACACGGAAGGGGTGTGTGTGTCCTACTGTATGCAGATCTCTGTTTTGGATAGCAGCTCTCAGTATTTTCCAGGCAGCACAGCAAATCTGCATACCTCAAGACGTAACTAAATTAAGGACCTGACTTCAATTGGGCTTACTCTAAACACGACTCATATGGGCTTTAAGCCAAAGCTTAAAAACCAAGGGGGAAAAAACAAAAATCTTTTTTTTTTAAAGACTGACCCCATATCTACACTACATAGGGAGTCTTTCCAAGAGGCAGACTCCATGCAAGGAAAGGAATGCACTGCTGTGTACATAGACAAGTGTGGAAACCACAGAAATGCCTGTTACACCACATTTATCAGGGTACGGAAGCCTTGAATATTTGACTTCTAAATCCATCACCAGGCAAACTTTGTGATAAAAAAACAAAAATATATAATTTAAGTCCTATAGTTTAAAGCAGGGACCTGAGGAACTGTCTGCCTTCACAGAGTTGAGCAGCTGAGGAACTCCCACAAATGCCTGCCTCCTTTCTAGAGAAAATCTGCGTACCCACAGGAAGCCAATGGGACTATGTGGATACTGCAACAGGCAGTATCTACATTCTGTTATGGACATGTGAGGTTTCTCTTCCTTCCACTCGCACCAAAAACCTAATGATATACTACATGTTCCTTGTGCAGCAAACACTATGAATGACTACTATTCATGACCATCATAGAATAATGAATTTGGAAGAGGCTATAAAGCCATGGAGTCCAACCCTCTGCTCAATGCAGAAACACATATCAAAGGATATCTGTCAGGTGGCTGTCTAAATTTCTCTTGAATGCCTCCAGTGTTAGAGCACTCACCGCCTCCCTCTGAGATCACTGGTTTTCTAACATCCTCATTTTAGCACTGTTCTATCACTAAAAAGAAGACGGTATTTGCTTGTGATATGCCACCACATATAGGGCAGTGTTGCATCTTGGGCAGGGAATGAGCTAAAGGTGGAAGAAAAACTCCAGAATTACTTGCAGCACTCCCACAAATGGAAAAGCCTGCAACTTGGGTTTCTAAAAACTCAACAGAACCAAATCCAGTAACAAAATGGACTAGCTCTAACTGTCCTGTTCTTGAAACAATTCAAAAGAAAAATGATAATCCAACACATGTCTACAAATCAATTTTTTGGAAAGAAGGAATCCAAGCTAAATAGAAATATTTGGGGTAGAGAGGAGGCTGTGCCTATCTGGTATCTGGATTTTTGTTTCTGGCATTTATTCTTCGATTGTCTAAATGTTGCCACTTGGGCACAAAAACATGAATTTTATCGTCACAATAGTGGTGGGGGGAGAAGGAGGAGGGAATGCCTTGAAAGCTTTGAATGGAAGGCACCAGAATGCAATTCTGCCCATGGCCACTCAAGGGGGTACATCCTGCTGCATTCACTTTGGGGCTTACACCCTAAGGAAGTGTATTTAGGGCTGCAGCCATTTGACACTGTAAAAATGAAAACATTAAGGTGATCAAAAGCTTTGTGCTTCAAGACTGTATGAGAAGTCTTAATAAGCAAACGAGCAAAATTATTATTACTGAAAGTTACAAGGCTCTGTCAACTTCACTGTAGAGTTTGCCATTCACTCTGAGTATAGAGCAAAGCACCGCTGTTGCCATGTAGCTATGGGGCTCTCAGAGGACACTAGTGGAATTAGCTAGGCCCGTGGTTGGCTCACCACAGAACCTAACCTCTTTGCCGTCTCTGAGGAATGCTGAGTTTCAAGCAAAATATTACATCACAGTCGCCCTGTGTGACTTCACAGCTCATCCCATGACTCACCCCTGACAAAAGCAGACATGGCAGAGAATGGAATTCTCCCAGATCTGGAGCTAAACGCAGAGATACTCCTACTAATCTCCTGGGAAGGGGACATCATGGGCAAACAACCACTAGGCACTACTACTACCATTACAAGCAGTAGTTTAATGCCAAGAGCGCCAGAGGTGGAACACAGTCTGGGCATGGAGGCTTCAAAGAGTGTAAGTTCAAGGAAAAGGTACAGAAAGAAGCACTGAAGACTGGAGCAGAGGGACTGAGCTAAGCCATGGAAGAGATCAGCTGAAAGGCCATGTCCTGGAAGCCCAGGGGAAGAAGGCTGCTCAAGGAGAGACAAGCAGGGTGTCTTGGAGGGCGTTGGGAGCTCCCCCAAGGAAGCCGGAAAAGACAGCAAAGGGGCTCGGCAATGACTGAGTTTGAAGATGGAATACAGGATGGGGCAGAAAGGGGCACAGCCGTAACACAACATTCTGAGCAAAAACACAAGGATGCAGTGGATAGGTTTTAAGGATCATTTTAGCCAGAGGAGGCCACTAAAGACAAAAAAATAAAAAAAAAATCTCAAGGATGGAAGGCTATCCAGAAAGGGTGCTTTACTGGATTAAGTGCAGAAGAACTAAGCTCCTATCTGAATAAATCATCAACCATGTCTCTCCCTTTGGGGAAATGAGTTCTGCTTTCTAACCTTGTATCTGAAGGAGCATGAGGTTTTCTAAAGAAAATCAAGCTCAGTGCCTCTGCTGCCTCCTGATGGTGAGAAAACCAGGAAAAACAATGCTGGAAACTATTTAATGGTGGATTATATTGCTCTGCAATTAAAAGGAACAAGGAAAGAGCTTCTTCCAGCCTTGCACCTCAGTAAGAGAGAGGCTGATAATCAGGTCTGTGACTAAATATGATCTCTACAGACTTGGAACCAAAGGGCCAGCTAGGCCTTGGATCTGGTGCAAAAAACTCTACAAACATAAGAAGAGCCCTGAACCAGAATGAGACCAAAGACAAGAGCCCTGAACCAGAATGAGACCAAAGACTCTCTAGCTCAATATTCTGTTCACACACCAGTCAACCACCTGTCCATTTGAAGACTGTCAAATATCAGCACATAGAGGTAAGCTGCTCCCTGTATTGGAGATCCTATAATGCAGTCCTGACCAGCACTAATGATCTTGACTTCCATGAATCAGGGTGGATAAAAATCACTGCTTTTGTGTGTTAGTAGGTTTATGTAAAAAAGAATTTTAAAAATTATTAAAAAATAAAGGCTTTTAAAAAAATCAAACTGATTGAAATCTCAATTTGAATAAAAATTAAAATATTAAATATCTATTTTTAAAATTTAAATAGCAAAAAAAAAAAAATCCAATTCTAAAAATTTAAATCATGGCTTAAATCCACCCTGCCATGAATTTATCTAATTGCCTGTTAAACTGTTCAAGGAAGTAGCTGTAATTATCTCTCAGGGAACTGAATTGAACACTTTAACTGTAGGAAGAAGTCCTTTTGTGTGTCTGGATCTTCCATCATTCCGCTCCAGTGAAATGACCTCATTGTATTCTACCATAATGAAAGAAACCCCCTCCTCTAACGCTTTCTCCATGCCACGCATAATTGCACAAACATCTAATATGTGGTCTCATCTGACCTCTCTCTAAGCTAAAAAAAATCCAAAATGTTTCCTCACAAGAAGACATAACAAAAACAAAAACAAGTATTTTGGCACTTGCATACCAATACATTTATTTTACACTGAGCTCCTGTGAATTATCATCCACTTCCTCAGACATCTGAGGAAGTTAACTGGAAGTTACGCAAGTCATGTTTTAAAAACTGTTAACCTCTGAAGTGCCATAATATTGTTTTTTTACTTTTGTTTTGTTTCTAACACCGTTCCCTCTCTGAACACCTTATAAGGAAGTTCTTTCAGTCCCTTGATCATTCTCTTGTCCTTTTCAGCAAGACGCTTTCTCAGTTCCAAAGAATCCCAAGTGTGATTTCCATACCAGAAATTTGCTATAAGGGCAGTAGTATATTGGCAATGTTACTTCCATTCCTTTTTGAACAATGCCAAACCAGTGTCCTGAAAAGCACTAGCTTCCACCCAGACTTGTGACAGGCGATGCCAACCAATATATTAACTTTAATCTTTAGGAAATTAGAAAGGCATGAGCAGTTCACAGCAAGAGTTGGCTGCTTTATCTGAACTGAACCATCAATACAAAAAAAACAGGATATCACCTAAAGTAACCATTCCACAAAATTAAACTTGCAACAGTATTTTACCCAAGCAGATTAGGTACGCAAAATATGTTCTTCTTACTTGTTTCTGTATATGATCAATGCATAAGAATGCAAAAGAATAGCATAAACCTTGGCTTTTTAAAGACTGTGATGCCTTTTCAGACCAGCAAAGTTACTGATCAACAAGGATTTAATTAAATAATCCAGACAAGTTAAAAAAGGAAAAAGGAAAACGTTGCATCCTGCTAACTTCCACTGGCATAAACAGAACCTTCTCACTGCTTTAGAGTGACAGTCACCCCGATGGATTCAGTGGGTCTCCTTTCTGCGTTAAGATAGCCCCCTTCCGTCCACCTCCGTACTCAGCTATGTCAGTTTTACCAGGAATCCTCCACCCAACTCAGCATGTGTATCTGCATACATGGCAGGGTTACAACACCCAAAACCTTTTATGAAGAACTCCCCCAAATGGTCACCGTACCACTGATTCAGCCTCTTTAAAGGTAGAAGCCTCTGGATTTTCTAGGGGGACAAAGATGAATGAAGACAGGCACTAGGCCACATGTTTCTCATGAAAAACCTTCCTGCAGGAATTACTGGGGTGAAACTGCTGCACCTGTCAGAAAACTCCAACAGCCCTTCCTGACCCAAAAGGAGCTTTTTGGGTTCCAAGCAGTCTGCACACCTCTCAAGTAAAACAATATCCAACAGAACTAATTGTCATATCACAGGGTGATGCATACAAGTATTTGGGGGGAAACAGTTATACCTCAACACAAGAATCATTATATTTCTGGAGAGAGACGGGACATACAATGCAGTTTTTTTAAAAAAAACCAAGAGTGGTGGAGCACACTGTATATTGTGAGCTATAATCATATTTCAGTTTATGTGTTTATTGTTAAGAGTTGTTTATTTTAATAATATTGTATAGGTTAAAAGAAGAAGAAAAGCAACCGCTGACGTGTTCAGGATGCTTCTACTCTGCATCTAAATTAAAGGAGCACCTGGGGAACTAGGCTCTACTGTCACAAAGTATTTACTGTACTAGGTCACCTAGCTTTGTAACGACAGCTCTTAGCTGCTAGCTAATGAAATTGTTTGTGTCTGAGCACCTGGCTTTTCCATATTCCTGCTGGTCATAATGCTGACTCATGGTAGTCTTGACGTCATGTGCTCAGACATGCATGTGCCAAATGCAACAGGGGACAAGGGATCCTGGGGGGCTCCAGGAATGGATCGGAACTGGAAATTTAGCAAGTGAACAGCCAGTCAGGCCTTTGCTAGCCAGAGTATTTTAGCAAAAGAAAAAAGCTCAACCTCCAAAAATTACACCATTCTTTTGGCAGAAGTCTTGACAGGCAAAAGGACATACTCTGTATGGAATCTGTTGACTCTACCAACTTCAGAAACTATAGTAATAAAACATTCATATTTCCATTCCTTTTCCAGCAACATCACACAGAACTGCCAGAAAAATTATCAGTGACTTGTACATTCCAGGCAGTTCATCCTCTATTCCAAAATATGGAAAAAGAGGTTGCACACAGCCTACCTCCAACTTCCAAGCCCTATTCTGAATAAATTCCTACAAGCCTTGACTAATGCTAATACAGACACTACAAAGCACTGGCCGGTCAGCTGGCTTCCCTCCCTCAAACTCAGAAATTAAATCCATTAAATGTACTGAATATTACAGGAAAGCTCCAGATGAATCCTTACAATAATAATGATAAAGTTATGGAAATAAAATTGCAGCAGTGAGAGATAGTAACCTGGATTCCAAGTTTAACCATGTGTCTCTATACACCTACTGTTGTTATCCTATTTAACTCTTTGGCTCAAGGAACAGTTACCTCCATTTCAGGGAGCACACTTCTGGTCAAAAATAGTCCAATCATCTCAACATTTTAATTTTACCGGTATTTCATATATGCACAAAATTTTAAATTGTGCAATGGCAATGCTCTGATATAAATAAATAAAGAAAAAATCATGAAGATGTTTTAGTTTGTGATTTGGATTCAAGCAGCCCATGACATCATTAGCAAAAATAAAATAAAACCCAAGTAAATTTCAAGAGTTTGCTGAAAGATCAGTCAGATGTAAAACTGCTACATTTCAAATCAGTGGAAATGTGGACTTTCATAATAATGCAATTACTGTCAAACTCTTATTTTGAGATGACTATTGCATATATTGGTCACTTTATAAAATACAAGGGGGGGGGGAGTTCTATCTCCTGACAAGGCTAAAAACACATTAGCCAAATGACTAAACCTATTCTGGCCAGCAGAGGAGGGCCAATGACTGGAGAATGACTCTGAGCAATTTCAGCCAAAGGAACAGTAATTGTAATTTGGAAGGGCAGACAGCAAGAAGCATACAAGCAGCAGTGTCTGTGTTAAGTTGATTTAAAAAAAACTGCAACTGTTACATTAGCTTGCAAATGTTTCCTGGGACACCTAAACAAAATCAGTATACTGTATTTTGATAGTGGAGGAAAGCATAAGGACAAAGAAATAGTCAAGCCAACATTATCTCAGGTCAATGAGCTGGTGTCCTTCCTAAACCATCTCCCCCTCCCCACTCCTCTGGAAAGCGCAGGGCCAGGGTGGGTGGGTAGATGGGGGGCTGGGAATCAGCCTGATGTACACAACAGGGAGCGATTGGAATTTGGATTTACTTATTTTGTGTGATGAACAGACACGAACTTTTCACCGGTTTATACGGCTTACGAAAGGACACTGAAATCAGGGAAATAGAAGGTTACTCGTAAAGTGCTTACACCGTACTTGACTGCCTCTTAACACCAAAGGAACCTTCAACTGAGGGAAGAAGGCAGAAGAAGTGTTTTGATGACTTTGGGGCGGGGGCACTGTGATTTGTTACACTTTGGAACTGCTGATTGCATTTTTTTAAAACACTTCTGCTGTTCATCAGACCAGATCTGCACCAAGTGCAGCGGTGAGACCACTTTTCACACAACGGGATGTTTGGAGACCACTAAGTGGAAGACCAGTTGGAAATGGACAGCGCTTTGCTCAGGCAGGGCGATGGGAAGTCCACCCTGTGAACATTACAGCAAAATTTGGGGGTTTAAAACAAAATGATACATGGTCTTGGTTTCTTTTTTTTTTTAAGGAAACAAAAATGATCACAAGGAGTGTGTGCTTTCGTGAGTACTTAAGTTACCATTGCCCATGAGCTGGGAAAAAGGATCACAAGGAGTGAGTGCTTCTGTGAGTAACTTAAGTTCCTATTGCCCATGAAGCAATCCGATCAATAATGGGGGGGGGGGACAGAATTCTGCATGTTGGCCCTCCATGAAATGCTTACTGACTTCTGGCCTTTTTTGTTTGTGGCAGGAAAATAAATAAAAAAAAAGAACAAGGTACAAATTCAATAAAAGAGGCTACTTACCAACCCAACCCCTGCATCACATATGAGAGAGAAAGAAAGAAAGAGGGAGAGAGGAGTCCTGAGGAAGGGGGCTGTGCATGTGTGCACTCACACGTGGGCATGCGCCCTAAGGTGCAGTAGTAGCACCAGCACCTCCTGCCCACCGACCCTTCAAGGAGTTTGGGGGGAGGGAGGGAGGGAGGGAGAAAAAAAGGGGGGGAAAGGCGGGAATGGCTCTCTCCCCCCCCCCATTCCCGACTCACAGGTCTTCAGAGGCTACCCTCACTCCACGTGGGAGTGGGACTTTGTGGCCAACTGGGCCTTCCCACCCTCCCACCCCAAAAAAAACACCACCCAAAAGGGGGGGGGCTCACTCACCTTGGTCCAGAGAGGCAACGCTTCCAGAAGGGCCAGCCTTGTTGGGGGGGGGGCTTTGGTGAAAGAAAGATCCCTCCTTTCCCC